TTTTAGTAGGTGCAAATGTACAGAGTGATTTTACATTGTGCTTTTCTACCCCCTCCAGAATGCTCATGTCTATTTTTGAGCAGAGAAGCAGGCCATATGGACAGTTCAGAACCCTTCCAGCATCTAGAACCTTTCATTTCAGTATAGAGAATAGGCATTCAAATTCACATGAGCTTCATCAAAGACAAGAAGAAGTCTTACTGCAGAACTGAAACTTGCAATCAATGGCACCAGAAAGGAAGAGTACTTCAAAATGCACTAGCGCAGAGTTATGGATCGATTTCTGAGAGACTCCAACTCAAAAGGCTACATAACACTTTAAACTAATTGACGTTAAACTGCTAAATATGACAGATAAGCTACATTTCTATTCAATTAATTAGGAAATGATAGTAGAATCAAGAGACAATCAGGAGACCGGTTTAATCAATCCCTGTAATCACATGAATGTGCAACAGCAGCAGAAATAACTTTACCTTTGTCATGTAACTGCCTGAATAAAAATAAACAGGGGCATGTGTAGTGTGCCCGTAAAAGCCCTCACAGTTCCTAAGAAAGCATGACAGCCATTTTGCATCACATAACACGGTGCAGTGTTACATATTACCCAAAATTATCTTCAGCACACAGAAAGCAACAGACAGACAGCACTCAAATGCAACAGAGGAGAAAAAGACAGAGTCCCATAAGATCATATTAGCAGAGTGGACATTAGAAAGTCCATCCTTTGAGGAGTTTGGCTGCATCCTCAAAGGAAAGGCTGCCTTTGCATGCTGTCATTCACTTTAGTGTGAATCTGTTAGCCGCTAAAGCAAAGCAGGATGACTCATGTAACAAGCAAGAAGGCAGAGAGAGACTGGCATTCAGACGGAAGCGCTCCTACTACCATTTAACCTGATTTTTTTCCATCCTCACAAATATAATGCCAAGCAATAAACTGTGCAAGGCAAATGACTAATGGGACAGCTTTATGGCTACACATGAAACTGGATTTTCAGTTGTCCAACATTAGGCTTAATCTGTGCTCAGAAAGATGCTCTGATTCAGAGAGTTGGGCTTGAGATAGAGGTCACTAGGGATGTCATTAAAGGCATGTGTTGATCTTGAAATATTAGTGAGGTATGATTGATGTGCAGCAGCAAGAAAACATAAGAGCAGCTAATTAACATTCTGAAAACTTTTCTCTGATTATTTGCTTTTCCTTAAGGCAGCCTACAGGACTGCAGAATACAACGCATTCCAAAAAATGTAATAAGAATTCTACTGATGAGATGTAAGTGAAATTTTGCCAAGGCCTAGCTGAACACCTGATTACTTCAACCTCAACAGGAGTCTGGTGAGACTGCCCTGTGCTTCAGCTGCAGACTTTGTTATTCTACCCCCCATATGATTTGGATTCAAACGGAGCTCTCCCTCTCTCTCTCTCCCTCTCTCTCTCTCTCTCTCCCTCTCTCTCTCTCTCTCTCTCTCTCTCTCTCTCTCTCTCTCTCTCTAGCTCTCAGCATCCTCACCTCCTCATGCCAGGCTGATTACAGATGAACCTGTTCCACAATGCAATAGTCATCTGCCTGTATGAGTCATCTTACAGTGGATCACTGCTGCAGTTCATGGAACATCTCATTTGGTCCATTGTAACTGCATTAGATGGACTTAGCCTGGATTTGAATAGAGTCAGCACTGGTCAACACTATTAGCTGGCAGGGCAAGTTCTCAATGAACGTATGAGCATGTGAATCAGAAGAGAGGAGACAATCTCCCCTGGGGTCTCGATCTGGACAAGGGGGGGTCATGGGAGTGTGAACATGACAGAAACCCAAACAAAGTTGACTCATAGTGATAATTGTGTGTAATGAAATAACCCTGAGAGCAAACACACATGCATATAGCAATCCTCCTACTATTTTCTAACTGCTACAGCAGTGTGTCACTCACCCATTTGCTTTAGATTTTACTGTGTTTGTAGACAAGTAGGTTGAAAAGGATTAAAAAAAAAAGCTCTAAGATATCTGAATTAGATTCTCATTTTTCTTGATCTACTTTCTGCAGGACCAAAACAAGGGGGCATTCGGACAATGCCTTTTTAAACTCAAGGCACTTCCCGTATTGGCTTAAAAAGAAGCAGGATGTGCTTCTTAGGGGCGGATAATGCATATGATTGACAATAGGCAAACAAAAATATGAAAGATCGAGACTATCAACAAACATTTCGATTTCTAATAATAGACTTAGGTGTGTCATTTTTGAATGCAGATGAAGGTTTAATAAAAAAAACAAATAAAAGAAAAAACAAGAATACTATTCATTGTTGCCAAAACTAGCTTTTCCTCCACGTTGGGGGTGTGACTAGGAATCCACAATCAGTCAGCTGTAAAGAATATATGGTGCCTTTTGTTTGAGCTCAGCACAAAAGTTTCAGATTTTTCAACTTATTTTTTGTGTTGTGCAGGATAATGTAGCACTTTTCAGTCGCAGTGATACAATGGTAAGAACAATGGTAAGAAGTGCATTTGAAAGTTTGAAAAAGTGTCCTATGTATGTGGGAGAATATAATAATTCACAGAGGTTACTGAAAAATAAATCTTTAGGGGCCTATATCCTACATTTTTCTTACATTTTGTATTTTTCCCCTGAAGTTCACTTATAACCTTCGGGTGGTTTCATGAACCAAAAATAGCCATAATTAATTTTAGATGGCCACTTTCAAACCTCTCCTTATCCCTTAGAATTAGGCTGTTTTTGTAACTATAAATTACCTCTGTTCTGACTGCCTGCCCTGTACGATTGTGCCTCATTCAAAAAGTCGTCTGAACTGAAACACTCAGCATGAATGTGCAACACTAAACTGCTGTAGGCTGAATAGGTGGATATAAGTAAATGTGTTGTTTTTTGTGACATCATAAAAACAATGAATTCAAATGACAATGAATTCAAATATGGCCTGTATGGCCTGGGGAGTGAACTTTACTTTTGGAAATTTTAACATTGTTTACATGCTACATCAAACTTATTTTTTATAAAAACAAGGAAAAGTCATTTTCAAATGATATGGTGCTTTAAGATCAGTAACTGAAAAAGCCTCGGTTTCAAGGGGATAACAAAATAAGTCTAGAGTTCCCAGGGTTAATAGAATGATTAATTATTGAAGATAACTATTGCAGTGTTATACTGAGACATTGTAGTTGTCTTACTTATCAGAAGCTTTGTCACTTTATCTGGTCTCCTTGCCCACAGAAATCAACAAATACATATCTACTGGTCCTTAGATGCATACATTTCAGGAAACAGCCCCACCCACCTTTACTTCACTCACTCACACACACACACACACCCGCACACACACACACACACACACACACACACACATGCACACATCCCTCTCACACCTGCCAACCCATCAAACCCTGATCAACAAGCACATACACATGTCCGTAAGCCATGACACACAAAGAAAGTCAGTAAAGGCAGAGGCTGCTTCTGGCTGTTTATGTCTGCATGTCAGCTAGCTGGCTGGACAGCATTCAGCTGTGGTCAACGCACTTCCTCTGTTTTGTGTCTGGGTAATGTCAGCAGGAGATTTTTTTTTTTTACTTCATTGTGTAGAGTGTGTTTTTGTGTATGCATACTGAGATGCAAAAACGAGACCACATTGAAAATCTGTTTTTTTTCATCTGAACCTGGAGATAAACAGAAATTTTAGAATTTAAATCAAAGAAAAGTCATGCCATGTAAAATGAAGTAGACATATTCAGGGTTCTGTGCTATTTCTAGGTCACTATGCAAATATAAGCACATTTGTGACAATGACCATGTTAAGGCTTTTGTACAAAAAGATTTTTTATCTTATCTCTTCCATTGAAGCTCATGCTTAGACAACTCTCAGATAAATATGATTTACTCATCAGAGGTCTTTACACAAACTTGTGGAGTCCATGCCAGCTCAAGTGTATACTGTTATGGAATTCATGTTAAAATTTCAAAAATTCTACTCAAATAGTTGTGCTGATAATAATCTTTAATGAAAAAAAAACGCATTCAATTAAAAAGGAATGCAATACAGAAGCATTTTTACTAGTGGTCTCAGGCTTTTGGACTACTGTGTGTGTGTTTCTTGTTATAAGAATTACTGGCCATCACCAAGGTCAGAGATGACGTAGTAGGGGTATCAGCTAGGCTACTAATCCTGCTGCTATCCATTAGCCCCTCACGTCCCTCTCTGCCTGGCATACCTTTGTATTACTACACACACACACACACACACACACACACACACACACACACATATGAGCATGCATTCAGATACATTAACCCTTTACTGAGGCAAAAGTGGCTATTTTGCTTTTAATCATGTGATTTCTCAATGCTGTTTTTAGAACATGAACCACCAAAGCCAAATATAAATATACTTCACATTTCAGTCACTTTTCATGTTATTCTGATGAAACAAATCAATATTGAGCCATTAGTGATCCGAATTCTGTTCTGAAAGTATGAGATCACCCAGAAACTACCATAGAGCATCAAATAAAGGCAGCACTGTGATTTTTCGTGTGTAGAGATTGAAGCACAAGAAAGTTCCACTTCCACATGCTGAAACAGTTAACTAAGCCCAAAGTGGACATCCCAGCTACTCTGTGGGGCAGATTTTAATTACTTAAATGCGACAAAACCAATGATGCTGAATGGATCACAGATGAGACGTTAGGATACAGCTAGTATTCAGATAAGACTCATTCACTTGTACTAATGAGAGAGTGATAGCATTCTGAGTATACAGAGACAGTATAGTTAAATACACTTCATGATCTGCTCTATTTTGTATCTCAATTTAATTAATGTGTAGAATTACTCTTCTGCAAGAGAAACACATCATACAAACACTGGAAAGCTGATATGCTTGTTGAAGAGTTTTATTTACTAAAGTCCTTTAAAGCATTTGTGAGACTGAGAGCACTTTTGCAGGGATACCTCAAACACTGCATCAGGTGTGGCATTGGTCTTACCTCTGTGATGTCTTCTTATATTTCCTCCTGAAATTAGACAAGAAAAGAAGGATGAAACTCCTTGTTTCAGTTTGTTTTCATGTAAACAGCTACATTGGAATTGATCCATAGGGCTGATTTTTCAGTTGTGGTTTAGTCTTGCTCCTTTACTAAATTGCTCTGTTAAGGAACATTCCGGTGTAAATCCTAAATAGCTCACACTTTATTTATTAACATAAAATTCTGAATCGACAGGATCATTTTGAATTTTGTATATTACGCACATTGTTCAGGAGACATTCTATTAGATCTGAGAGATCACTGATCAGAAAAGTATCTAAAGTCATTGTATAAGAGAGGTAATCAGGTTCTATATGTTAGTGATAAATGCCCAGTTTGTAATTGCTTGGTCTTGACGTTTGTGGCTGGCACATAATTCATGAAAGTGTTCCTTTCACAAAAGACCCTCTCACAAAAGATAAGGCCATTAAACCTATTCCAGCTGATGAACCCTTAAATCCTGCAACTCTTTAAATATGGTACACCATGTGCCCTACACGGATTGAAGAGAGCGTCATTCCTCCTGTGGCCAGACTGCAAGGATAAAATTGGGACATTTATAACATTTTATCACCGCTGTGTATTTACCAGGACTTTTGACCCTGACCGTAAAACTGACATACAATAGATCTAACTGGTGACAGCTTCAGTCTCAAAAACAGGAGCCGAATAAAAGCATGTCAGAGATATACATCAACATACTGACACTATTTTAAAATGCAACTTCTATTACTTGGTAAGAAAACTAATGACTTTTTTATGCATCTACTTGAATGATATGGAACACTTATTATGGTGTGGCGCACTGTAATTGTTTGATAAATAGAAATAAATGTTGAAAGCCACCCTATGATTTTTAAAGTGATTGTGTTTACATAATTTTCTCTTACTAAGGAGATGTATAACATATCTATTACTCATCAGGAGAATGGATAAGCATTATACAACATATTCTATGATCCTATTATTAACAAAAAATTGGATTGGATAGTGAAAATAATGCATCTCATGTGTTTGACTATGGGGAATATAAGGGGCAACCTTAACGGATGAGATAATCACAAAAGGCTACACTTTCTCAATGCACTCTGCGCTCCAAATATTATCACTAATATTAATAGAAGTTGATTTTTTCTGTTTGCCCAGTGACATTATTCCCATCAGTGTCAGAAAGGTGGTCACTCAAATATAGATGATCCCCAATTCTCTGCAATTCATGTCTAATTCATTATGAAGGACAGTTTGATTAGAGGCTTTGCATCTTTAGAATGATCAGAGACATGATTGTGAAGGGAGATTGGCTAATGTGAAACTCAGCTAAACCCTTTAGTAAAGAGACAAAAGTGTCTATGCTTTTTAATCTACTTTCTCTTTTAATGAATTGATTGCCTAATGTAGTTTAGGTATGTAAAGAACATGATCTAAAAGCTGAAAATTGAAAACACATACTTATCATTTTGAGCAAGCAAACATAAATAAGAATATACTTCACACTTCTGTTGTTTTTCATTGTTACTCTGATTAAAAAATCAGTGAGAAGTCCCTAGTAATGCAATTCTATTCTGAAAGTATAACAATACAGGCAGCATTGTGCTTCTTTTATATAGTGACAGAAAACATGGTTGCACCCAAAATACTGAAGCTCAAATTCCACATGCTGATGCAGGTTACTATGCTGAACATGGACATGAATGTGTCCCAACATCTCTGGCGGCAGATTTTAATGAGTTACACAAACCTTGCCAAAGTCCCTGAACAGATTGCTGACGATATGTTTGATAAGACGGGGTTAACCATTCTCTCCTTTTCTGTCTTGTTTTCTTCTCACGCTCTCTCTCTCTCTCTCTCTCTCTCTCTCTCTCTCTCTCTCTCTCTCTCTCTTTTATAAACCCTTCATAAGTTCCACAGTATTGCTAATGGTACAGTGACATTGCTCCTGTCCTGCAGTACACTGGAGACACTATGACACTATGACGTATTGTTATTAAATTTCCTGTAAGAGCTATATAGCCTCTGGGTGTCTCTGGCTCTGTTAATATGTACTTTGCAGACACACTGGAAGTGTGATACATATAAAAGCACTGTAACGTGTGGAAACTATCCCTAGGATTTTACTTTTGTGTGTTAAAATTCCATTTTTCCATTCCATCATTTTCACTGTAACATGAGGGCCAATAGTCTTTCAGTCTTCACCTCTTGAGCTTCTAATCTCTATTAATCTCTATCATACACATGCAAGCATATGCCCACACATACACGTCAGCCTCTAAACTGAGCTTAATGCGCATCCCAGCTCATTTTTCCCTCTGATCATAGCTCTCATCACACTTAAACGTTTACGGCTTTGTGTCTTTCCCCACGACCCTGAGTGTCAACAGCAGGCCCATTTCCCCCGAGCCGCACCAGGGGCACCATAAAATCCCAATAAGCCCAATAAATGTGCTTGGAAAGGGAAATAAACCCAGGCAGAACATGACTTTGCCTTCCTTACACACTTCGCTCTGCTGTCCCGTGGCAGGCCTCAACAAATGCAAGGACAGAAAAGCAATTTGGTGAGGCACGGATGATGGGTTACATTTTACCGCTCCATCAACGTCAGCTTGGCCCTACGACAGTGTTGATGGATCTCGAGATTGCGTCAAACGGTAGCTGCCTGGAGCACCTGCGCACTCGGCCCACTGCTGCTGGGGTTAGTTAACTGTCAGGCCAAGCCAAGTTGTTGTGTATTTATAATGGGGGGGAGGTATCTTTAGTTATAACCAAAGGATTAGCATCCAAAGGGCGAGCCTGGAATACCATGCTGAAGAACGGGATCACACTGGGATCAGTGCTGACTCTGTCACGACACAGAAGCACAAATGCCTGCACAGAGTGCAGCCCCTCTTCCTCCACCAATACACACACACACACAAGTAAAAATACAGATAAATACATTACACCTGGATACAGATCAAAGCATAGTAAATGGGGAGATATACATTATCATTTTACCTGATGCTAAAATTTTAATGGAAATAGAGAACAAACATTTTTCACTGCCCAAAGGTAAATTTGGTTCTATTTTTAATAAATGTTAAATCATCACTGCCAGAATAAAATATCCTAAATAAGTATATTTTCAGAAGAAGGAAACAGAATAATATAAATGAAATTTTCACACAATGTCAAGGGCAGCTGGTATTTCCAAAAAATGATTTTGGTAAGGTTTCCTCTTGTCATTTAGGAAAGTAAGCAGGTGTAATGTGGACATCTCTCACATCCTTTTCACCAGTTCAGTTTACAAGCTTTGCGAGAGCTTGGGGTCAGTGTACCCAAACCATGCAGTGTCGTTCCCTGTTGTTTGCTCTCTTCTGCTACATTACCCTGATTGGTGCCTGAACTTTACCTCCTGATCATATGATAAGATGATGCAGAATTTCTCCTCTTAGCAGTAATCCTATAGAGATCAGTACAACCTCACAGATTACTGCAGGAAATGAAGAATTATGTTCTGTCTGCTTCTCTAGCAGCAAGTTTCTTCTATCAATAATAATTTAAAACACTTCTTGTATTGTAATATTTCAAAACATAAAAGTACATAATTTGAGTGCAAATAAATCTGGAAGTTAGAAACCTGGATTTATGGGTCAGCAAACTAACAAGTTCAGTTTAAAACTCACTTTGCGCAGCTCAACTCTATACTATACTATACTATAATACGCTGGACACTCGAAGTATACATGTACTCATAACTACACTTTTTATTTTATATATTTACATCAGCACATCTCCAAAAAGTGTTTACTTTGTTGTCTGTTTACATCCCTGTGTTTGTTTTCTTTGGAGCATTGCTAAGCAAGTTCTTTGTATGTTCATTTTGAGAGAGGATGTTTGCCCTAAAGGTGACCTCCCAGAACACCCTTGAAAAAGAGGCAGCTATTAAATAAAAACATCTGCTACCATTAACAAAATAAATGAAATAGAAGAGAATTATATTAAACATAAAGTCAAAACGGCTCCAGAAACATTTCTGAACTTTACGAAGAAATATTCCACACAGGACATGAAAGAGCAAACACAATAAGCAGACACACACACACATACATTTGTTTTTATACAAAGTCAGGACTGGGGGTCATACATACATCCCATATACATTTTACATATAACTGTCTTTAAGTAATGAGAATTATCTAAGCCTAACCTTAGTAACAAAAAAAAGAAATGATTTTACTTTTTCAGTTTTCAAAAATTTGCAAAAAGCACTTTACTGAAAAAAATTAACAAATCTTCTTTTTCTCAGATTTTCCAACAAAGTTGGGACATTTCTCCTCTTCCTGAGTATGTATGAAAACATGCACACTCACACACATTCTTGCAGAGAGGGAAAAGTGCAAACAAACTCTACTCACAGTCCTCGCAGTCTCAGCCAGATCTTCTCAATCTGCTCCGGCTGGAGATACTTCAGAGAGTTGTTCTCGAAATCCTCTATCTCCTTGGTGGGTGATTCCATGTCAAAAAAGTCGACCAGGCAAAACGACATGAACGTGGATTATCCGGTGGCCAGCTGCAGCAGAAGTGGTGTGTTGTGTGAAGTTGTGGAGCAGCGCGCGGGCTACAGCCCCCGAGTGAGCCCGGAGTGTATCAGCGTGACAGCTGGAGTCTGTCCCTCATCCCTCCTCTCTCTCTCTCTCTCTCTTCCTCTCTCTCTCTCTCTCTGACTCTCTCTCAGCGTCTGAAGCTCTCTTGGGTAGCCCCTCACTCTGAGGGAGTGCCTGTGTCACCAGCTCTGTGGTCAGGTGCGCAGTGAGAGAGGGGAAGGGCTGTAGGGGGGCCACACACGTTCACACGTACGAATATGAGGCGGGGAGAGGGAAGAGATAGAGAAAGAGAGAGAGGCAAAACAGAGAGATAGTATGTGTGTGTGTGAGAGAGAGAGAGGGAGGGGAGGAGATGCAGGGGATTAGGGGAGTGCTGCTGATCCACGCATCAAAGAGCCACTGCCGCTGCTCTACGCCACAGTCAGCCTGCTGCTATACGTCCAGAGGAGGGACACAATCAATACATACTAAGCTTACAGATGACCTGCAGCTGCTTTTCTGTTGGGGTGAGAGGAAGGAGGGAGGGAGGGAGAGAGAGAGAGAGAGAGAGAGAGAGAGAGAGAGAGACAGAGAGAGAGACTCCTCTATGTGAATAACCATGTCTGAGAGAATGAGTGTGTGAGAGCAGCCGCTGAGTGTGCATGTGTGTGTTGGAACGAGGAAGAGAGAGACACACTGCAGCTCACTGACGCTCTGTTGTGGTGTGAATAGGAGGAGCATCTGTGTGCGTACGCGCATGGTGCACAAATGATTTCCACTATCCTGAATGCAATAACATACGCTCCTCTCAGTCATTACTGTATAATAATAAAAAACTAACATCCAGCACAAGAAAGACGACATGAACCTCCTCCTTAAACAACTGAATAAAGAAATAAACATCTTTCATTAATAATAAACAGTGCAATCATCACAATAAACAATCCTAGTGGAGGGACAATACATCGCTGTCAATTTAAAACCATATTTTGTTTTTATTTTTATTTTTATGCACAATTTGAAAACAGCAGCTGCCCTTGACAATTCATGATGTATCAACTAAAATAGTCCAAAAGTATGTGGAACAAAATCATGCACTAACATGTGCTGAAGTTATGAGTTTTTTCCCTATCCTATAAAGATACAAAGTTTTGGTATGACAACGACGGATAGTGGTGGGAAGTTCCATTTCTTTTACTGAACCAGTTCTTTCAAACTGTTCGTTTCAATGAATCTCATGTCTGATTTAATATTTTTGTGCTGGGGCCGGTGCTGTGGAGCGAACTGACTCCAGATGATTCTCCATTAACACAGGGGTTACAGCCAAATAGAAGCCTAGAAACAGAGGTTCGCTGTTATATTCTTTGCAACTGGACTATGTTCTGTCCTCATTAAAGTAGGCCGACCAGTTCAGCAGCTAACTAATATGTTAACAAGCTAACAGGCCAACAGTATACAAAGATAAGACTTACATTAAAAAATAGGATTCTTTGTAAAATTCCAACATATAAAGTTGAAAAAAATGTATCTGGACATCTGCTCAGCTTCAGATATCTGTGTTTAACCCTAAATGCTAATGCATTGCAACTACCACTCTACCACTCAGTATAAAACAGAAAGTTAACAAAACAACTATATAGAATATCCTATGATTTAGTTCATGTTCACATTTCTATTATCAGCCTGACATACATGACAAGGTAAAAAAGCTCTATAGGATCAGCTCTGACTGTCTGAATGAGTTATATTGAGTCGAACATTTGACTCAACATAATGAGGTTTGGCTCAGCCTGGAACTGTTGTAGTAGCTTTCAGGTTCATCTCATGAACCAGTTTTGGTTATTTTGGCTCAGTGAGTCTGACTCAGCTGGCTCACAGCAGAAACACATACCAATGAGTTACAGACTACTGAGGGAACACATAAGAAATTCAAAGGAGTAATTCCTAATATCTTTCGAATCATTTTGAGTGATTCACTGAAAAGAACTGGTCCAAAAGAACAATTTGTATGGATCAGTACAATAACTTAACAATATAATAATATAATAATATAATATAATAATACAGAACAATATGGGTTTAAACAATTGCTTAAATGGCAGCAACTACTCTTACTCTTACATGTTTCAGGAAACATGTAGCAAATGAAGCACTAAGCTATCAATAACATGATGCTCATCTGAAAGTGGCTGAGACAAGAAGAGCGGCTCCGAATGGCCCCATAATTGCATCAGATAGAGCCGCTGATATGTCAGTGTGATGACTCCAAAGGAATTAAAAGAACCAGTGAGGCTCCATTAGCGCCATGTGCTTGGCCCTCGTTTCCGAGCACAGAGCAGGGCTTTGTTATGATTCTCCTCTGTCAGGAAATTGGACGGCCTTATCGGTAATAGCGGGAATCAAAACGTTACTCTACTCCGGATGATCCAGAAAGTTTTTTCCATGGCAGAGATGAGGAGGATGAGAGTCCACTGGGCCTTCAGCTGTGTGGAGTGTTTACCCTGCCTCTGTCCTTCTGCTCTAGCTCAACTCAGCTTCTCTCAGCAGAGCTACAGTGCTCCTCACAGTGACCTGCCTGACCAGCTGAAGAAACAGGGCAGTGAGCACTAGTGAGAGACACTGACATCATAGCCTTAAGTGTCTCCCTGAGCCTGTATGATATGTTTTATTTTGCCTCAATGTTGCGTCCATTTTTAGCCAATTATGAAGATTTTGGAAGGCTGCCTATCATTACTGTCATAGGAAAAACTTATATTTTAAGAACACGTCACATCTCTGACACCGATTGTGTGATTAGAAAACAAATCTGTGTCGAAAATCTGAAGTCACTGCTCATATTAAAGGCCATATTTCTTGTGATCATGTGATGTCAAATAAACCAACACATTCACATATACAGTGGAGTCAAGATGTCTAAGACCACATTGAAAATCTGGTATTTTTTCCTATTCAAAACTGGAAATAGCAGAAAGCAAAAAGAATCTTGAAAAATTTAAAACAAAGAAATGTCCCTATTCAAACTGAAGTAAATTTGTTACACTGACCATGTTACAACCTTTGTACAAGAAGGTCAGTTTTTTTTTGTTTTTTTTTATCTTATTCCGTCCATTAAAACGTGTCCAGATGACTCTCAGGTAGATTTGATCTACCAGATATCAGAAGTGTCTGCAAAAACATATGGAGTTCTTGCCAGCTCCAGTGTCATTAAAGCAAAAGAGGGACATATCAAATGTGCAAAGTTTCCTTTTTTTACAATTTTTTTTCCCAATTGTCTCCCCAGTTGAGACGTACCTAACTCCACACACTAGTTAGGACTCCCCAGTCACATGATACCATCAGCAGGTCAAATACTAGCAGAGGCTTCCTCCGAGACCCGTGAAGTGCCACCGCATCTTTTCAAACTGTTGCTTTACGCAACGTCATCGGACAGCTGAATGCACCCGGAGGAAAGTGCCAAATGACAGTTCTGTTATGTCAGCGAAAAGGCGCCTGCGCTGGCTAGCATCGTACCTTCACATTCATTTCACTCAAATTGGTATGCAGATGATGTCATTTGTAAAGAAAAACTTTATATTGAAGGCATGTAAAATGTAAAAGCACATTCACCGGTGGTCTCGGACTTTTGGATGTTACTGTACAAGAAAAATGTAGGCTATATGCCATTTAAATAACAAAAAGCTGGTTTGGGTTAAACTAACACAATAAATGTGCTGTTTTTAATGAGACACACTACAGATCATTTTTAACCTGTCTATAACGTCATTATTATAACTTAAGAAAAAAATTATGTAATTTTCTTTTACTGTCACAAAATGTCACGTGTAAAATGCAATGGACAGCTGGCATTTTCAAACGCCATTAAAAAAATATAGTTTTAAGGTTTGATGACAATGATGATATACTATACTTTAGGTCGTGTTTCTTCAATCTACTCCAGACTCTCACACACAAATCAGAGCAACTACGATATACTCCTCTTTTCTGACATGCCATACATTTTGATTGTGATGGATAAGATGAATCAGTTATTATGTCACTGTCGAGTTCATAAAAAAATAAATGTCCTAGATTCTTGAGAAACCCCACAACACTATGCATTCCAATACACTTTGACTGACAATAACCTCTGGCTGCTCATGTGCTTCTCATTCAGTAATTAACTGAGAAATGTACAGTGTTTGATGATGTCATACCAAAACAACTTGTCTCCCATTCTTTCACTTTGTTGAATTGAAAAGGTGAGGGTTTAGCATCCTGAGTATATCATAGTTCAACTGGTCAATTAACCTGTTCCTAGACTGGCACAAGTAAGATTGTTTCCATATATTTACTTTGTCTTAGCTTTTATGGACAAAGGCACATTTTATTCAATATTTCTTTAAATAATTTTTTAAATATATTTTTAGAGCCACCCTCTGTTAGCTCTTGTTTGTTTCTAGCTCGGGCCAGGGCTCACATCAAAGCCATGTTCCCTCCATTTTTCTCTTGTCAAAACAAATAAGCTCTGCATGTTGGCTTGGACACTGCGGTTGCGCAGGTTGGTCTGAGGTTGCAGCAACGCGTCATCTACCCTTATGCTGCACGTAATGCCTAGATGAGTGTGGAACACTGAGCATAGAAATCCCCAATGGGCAAAAAAGCTTTGCAATTTCTCAGCTTTCGCACAGTTCCCCTCCTGTCTGCTGCCTCGTGAGCTGCGCACTGACCATGCACATATCCGTGATTGATGGCTTTCATGGGTGATTAACAAGATGGCAAGAACTGAGTAGGGTTTCTAGAAAATCTAAGTCTGTGTTCACTTTACTGACATGAGACATACACAGATGTTGCTTTTTGTGACTATTATTTCTCCTCTTCGTCTTCACAGACACATCCATGTAGATATATTATAGTCTCTTCAGCTGAAAATTTCTATCTTAAAGGACCCATAATCAACGTTTTAGTCTTCATTTCTTTCCCTAAAGCCCATGTGGAAAATGTGTGTGCCAAAAACACTCATCATTCCAAAATGAATGGGCAGCTAAATCTGCAGGCTGAATGGGCTATCATATATATATATATGTGACATCACAACCATAATGAATTCAAAACAGACTGTTTTTTTGCAGCTAAATTTCCATGTAAGAACTGTTTTGAGACTTACATAGTACATCAAAAACTTTCATTTCACACTTTCATTCCAAAATGAGAAACATTCTGTTTTCCCATGACATGGGCCCTTTAAATGAGTATAATTTCTGTTCTGAGTTTGAAGTCAATTCTGAGTGCATTTCTTATATTGTGCCTGTTTCGGGAGCCTGGTCGAACACTGATAAGGACTCTGTTTCTCGACCTCTCACACCTCAAGCTAAAACAAAACCTGAGCAAACAGAATGAAAAACGTAGTGCTGCTACTGGCAGAAAGGAAAGTGTGTAAAATGAGTGCTGAGAGTGACATGTAACCTAGAAAGGTTGAAACACCCACTCCTCCTCCCATAAGCCAACCAACCCCCCCCGACACTTTTTTTTTTTTTCTGGGTGACTCAGTTTGGCCCTTTTTCAATTAGTTGATGTGGAGAGAG